TATGCATTTATGAAACCATACAGGAATAAAAGCTGCCAAGATTGGAACTGAAATGAGATGCTGGCAACTAAGACAGCAATAGTGCTGTCTAAGGGCTTTTATTTAGGCCAGCTTCTGAGATTAGCCTCTTTGACACATAGGACCTGGCCAAGCTTGAAGTTTTAGCATCAACAGGAAGAGGAAAACAAACATTTCCTAAACCATTTAGGCTTCACCTAAGATTTGAGATAAGGGTTTGCCTTTCCTCTTCCCAAATTCCTCCAGTCCATATCAGCAATTGTTATAAAACCCTCTGAAGCAATTTCCTTTTCTTGTTGCCACAAACGGAAGAAAAATTCAGAAGATCTATAATTAGAAATAATAGCACTGTTTCACTCCAATAAAGTGTTTCTTTGGCTTGTGTTCCATTTTGCTTTTTTGGGATGTAATGCTTAGGAGCCATTTCTGTTAAAGTACTATAGAACAAAAAAAAACACTTCTCTGTAGCAGAAAATGAACTTTTACAAAAAGAACAAAACCACTTCACAGTAGCAAAACCATGTGATATTCTGCATTTAGTGAATTTGCATGGAATACAAAACAATATAGGACAACTTAAAATGAGCTAATGGGATAAGAAATGTTACACCAAATTAAAAACACGTTTTCAATAAAGAGTGAGGTATTTATTCTGTTGATAAACTGTAAACAATTAACTCCCCTTTCGATCATATTGTTTCTTCCTGTTCTGAAGAAGAAACAAACACATTTAAATACAAATGACTGTACAGTATATTACAAATTCTGCAGTAAGGTGGATGACAGTCTCTGTCAAAGTGTACACTTAAAGAGTAGAGACACTGGTCTTCCTACAGTAAAATGACTCCTTTCATGTCCATAGCTTCTGACACACACAACAGACAAAAAAGGGTATCAAAGCTTCGATGCTCAAGCAACTATTCGTTATATAATCCTCCCCAGAACTATTATTGTTATGATGATTGAACAACCAACAATAGTTATACATTGAGCATCAATAATATGATTTTTGTTGCTGTAATCAATATCAGTACAATGGCTTTAGAAAGCCCATAACAGGAAAGCAGGCCACTGTGTTTATGCTACGACAGCACCTTGACGGGCATATCTTTGTCACCGTTCTCCAGCTTGTGTTTATGACCAGGACTGCTTAGCACAAGGAAACTAATAGCTGCATCACAATGTAAGGACATGTGGAATAAAGCTGCAGATGTGTTCCAGTCCGTATTTAAATACCTCCCAATGGCCTCCTAACAACTGTGGCAGATGCCATCCCACTAAAAGTCTTCTATCTCTCTAAAAATGAAGAGCCAACCCAGACTACCCACAGGCCACAAAAAAGTCAGTATTTGGAGGCTGCTATTTTCCAGTGTAAGACACCAATTTTTCTGGTTAACGCAATATGTGAATGGGATGAAATAACCTAATTTTGGAAACATGGTATTTTCACGCCAAACTATTTGTTTGTGGAGTTCTGTATATTCGAAACGGTGAAACTTAAAGAAGCAGATTTCTTAAAACTGTCACATTCTCCAAAGAGGCCGTATCAGATACAGTGTGACAACTCGAGGTGCAGTGTTAATTCTTGTCCACCATGCCTCAAAAGATCAGTGGGAATTCCATTACTGCCTGTTGCTTTGTTCTTCTTCAATTTTTGTGATGCTTTTTTATCACCTTCGGCAGTGCTGACAGAGTTTCAAGCTTGCCTCAGAATGGATGTTGTGGGATTTCATATACTGCTGTTAAACAAAATGTAATATACTATTGTTAATGGGGGATGCACCACTGGCTAAACTGTAAAAAACTACCAGTGACACCAAAATCTCACGAAACAACATGTGGTGGCTGTTGGAGACTCTGTTCTCAGAAACATTATTCTCAACCGAGGTGTGACTCTGGGACCTGGAGTCAACACTACTGTGCTGTCTCCCTGGAGCTAATCTGGCAGACAGCGTACGTATTCAGGCACTTAGCAAGAAGGACAACTGGTAGGTTTGCAAAACGCATATTAGATGGTTAGATCGAAGAACGTTACTAGCTTTAGTCCATCATGTTCCTCCTGGGAACAAGACAATAGACTGAGCTGAAACAACCCTCCAAGAATTTTTGACTGTTGTTTTTAAATTGTTTTAAATGATTTAGAGTTTGCGAAAGTAAAAAAATATTATTCTGTAATGAATTAGACCCTAATGTGCATGCACCCAGCAACAATATACTACCCATATTCAGATGAGCTCACAAATTTGCACATTCCAGTTTACAGGCAAAACCACCTCAAGAAAAACTACTCTTGGTTAGGTTAAGGACAGAAGAATGTAAATCGTTGGTGATAAGCACCTACACTCTGTGCAGAGAAAATGCACTCTTATGGTACAGTATATGACATATTTCCTCAGTGAGAATTTTGTGAATATGTGTTGGAATGTGCATGCTATGAATGATCAAATGTTGCATGCAATTTTGCAATGATTTTACAATTTGGATATACTGTTTCCTTCTGGGATCTAAAAAACGGTGCCAGATACAGAGAGGGCCACATCACATCTAGCTGAGCAGAACAGTCTGCTCTGTGTTAGCCCGAAATACATCAAACCAATGGGCTTAATTGCTTTAAACCCAAACCACTTCCTGTTGAGAAAATGTGGAATGCAAAGCATTTGCACAAGTGTTGCAATACATCAGGATTGACTGATCCTGGTCCCAGAGAGCCAAAATCAAGCGGGTTTTGTAGGTCACCCTTAACTCATTGATTTCTGAACTGCTGTTTAGAAATCATTGGGAATGAAAATACCCGCTAGCTCTCAACTGGGGTGGATTAAGACACAGACAAACTATATGCATAGGGTCCAGATGTTTAGGAGGTACCCTCTCAGATATGATAATTGTTCAATTTTATTTTTTTTAATTCACACATCTGTTTTATATATTTATCTGAAAATGGTTTCATGCACATTATGGAAAAGCAAGCTACAGTAGATTGGTTTTCTGTGCCAGCAAGCTGTAATGAACTAACTCAGATTTACAGTATGTATTAACCAGTCCTGTTGCTGGTGAATTCAATTCAAAATATTAGAAGACCAAGGTGTTCACAAGTTCTGGTTTATTAGATACTGCAGCTAGCTAGAAAGGAAAACTCAGTGTACATCAATGCTCACATTGGGATACCTACTGTGCATATCACTTTCGGTACTGGTCACATACAACAAAAAGGAAAGGTCTGTGCATGTGTTTAATTTCATTCAGAAGCCTTGATTGATTGTTCATGATTGAACTTTAACAAGGTCTACGAAGAATTAGACTAAAATGGATTACGTTGCAATTTACCTCATAAACTTCACTATTTAAACTGCATGAGCATGAAACGTGAAGAAGACTAATATTGTAAACCTAGTTAAGTTTAGCAAGAACATTGTACACTTAGTTAAGTTTACAATAAGTAAACGTATTATAACTTAAAGCACAAAATTAAACCATTTCTAATTGCGGTGTAATTAGCTTTTCAGGCAAACAGACTGGTTTTTACATATTTGTAGGGCTTTAAATACGTGTTTATTCGTGTGGGTGTCAACAACGCACTTGTTTGCCTACAGTAGGTCCCACAATGCGGGTTAATCCGGCCTCGACAACAGTTAGCCGTTCCTGATTTAAATGAACCAAGTAATGGAGTGAACTGTTTAAAACTCGCATGTGTGTCAAGCCTGGGAATGAACAAAACGAGGCTGGCCGCTGGATATGGCAGTGCAAGACCAGAGTTACCACACGCTGTGGAAACTTTGAACTGCAAAGGCCGCGTTTTTCTGTGTCCTACAGATGTCAGTGAATATTATAATTTTATAAAATTGTTTTTTTTTTCCTTCTAAAAACTGGGAATCAAGAACTCTTTTACAAACAAAATAATGAAATCCAAATCTTTTATGACCACACACACCAAAGAAAACAACACATCGCAGTTATTTCATAGTTCTCCGAGGAAAGTTTTTGTTGTTTTAGCGGTGTAGGGAGCCATTCATAATAATTGTTAGTAATGTATTCAATTAATTTACTTACACTCCCATTTCAATGAAAATTATATCAGAACAAATGTGGTTACGGATTGAGAATGGTGTTTCATTTACATTTTTATGTATTTGAAACCTTAAACATTTTAAGAAACCTCTAAAAAATACTATGATACAAGCGTGGGGACAAGGACGCTCAATACAGTATCGCGGCTGGTTTGGCTGAGAAGCAGGCGACACTAAGCGCTTCTATGTGCATCTAGTTTGTATTGTTCATACTGTAAGTAGCCGTTCCCTTCGAGACCATAGAGAACTTAATAGAAGAGATTAAACTAAGGAAAGGGCTATTTTCCACACATCCTTTTTAGGAAATGATTACGGTAGCTGAAACAAATGACCAGAAAGTTGCTTGCTAAATTCCAGGAATTTGATTTAAACCGAAGGCTTCATCTCCAATGTAGAACAATTAAGTGTGAATGTTGTGCAGTCCAATTAATTTGAGCAGAACATCAAACTTAACCAAAACCATCCAAAAGGATTACTTATTATCATAAAGCTTCAGAAGAACCGGCGGTACTTCTCTCGCGTTTTGAATTGCAAGACTTTACAAAAATACGATTGACAAAGTTTCTCTTCACAACAGCAACTCGTATAGTATACTTTTCTTGGGATATTGAAGAGTCGAGTTCTTAATCACATTAAATTAACCTTGAAATGTGAATTAACTCGTGGCTAATATACTTACTGTAGATTTCCACATTCAGATGTAAGACTAACTTTGGGAAAGGAGTCTTCCTACCTGTGGTACTGCATTTATTTAAATCTTATTCAAATAAACTGAAAACATGGCGTACCTCAAAGCAGTCTTTTAATGTTGTTTTATGTTATATATTTGAACTTCTACATTATGTAACAATTCGATTTCATCGATCGGTTACTTCCTAATGCATGTAAAACATTTATTTCCCCAACCACTGTTCCTACCTGAATAATGTCCAATAAAATCTTTCCGTCGTGGTTTTTATATTTCGCTTTGTTTGATAAAAGACTCACAATATCCATATTCGGAGATGTTTAACCCATGTAATTCTGATATCTGTTAGAAACGCCAGAAATTCGGTGCTTCCTGTCAAGACTGTTACAGGAGCACTATGTACTGTAATACCTTGATGAGTCAGATTGCTACGCCAGGTGAGTTGACCAATAGGTCCGAAGACAAACCAGGAAATTACTAGGATTTTACATTTAGTGCACCACCTTTCAAGTTAAGAGGCTGCTGAATTTCAGCAGGTATTATTTTTTCAAACTTAAACACGTTTATTTATTTTGAGGTGCAGTTCCTAATTTAAACACAATAGAATGTTGCATTAGGATTTAATTCCGAGGACACTGAAATAGTTTATATAATGTAATAGTGTATATAAATAGTGTATCTGATCCTTAATGAGTAGAACACTACCCCAAAAATAAATGCTTAACATGCCACTAAAAAAATGCACGATGAGTTTAAATCACATGAAACTGCACCGCTTATTTTAAATTATAGTGCCACGAAAAAAGTAAAGTTCTTTAATTAAGCAAAAACACAACGTATCCTGACCGGAGAAAATATTCTAACCGCAATTAACTGTTTGGAAAGCGATGCCACGAAGTTTAAAGACTTAACAGTATACTCATCCAGATCAGGCAAGAGGGAGACATTTGAACAGACGGCGGGGTTAAGGCGCCACCTAGAGGAAACAGTTGAATGCGTTCAAAAAGAAGAAAGAAGAACCGCAATATTAAAATAACTAATTTGGATCCAATTAAGTTGCAAAAAAGAAATGCAATTGCTTTTAGGATTCTAGCTACCCAGCACGATGAAATAACAAAAAATCAAAGGGATCCTGAAAATAATCTATTAGAAATAAGGACTAAAATCCATCACCATTCCTGTACATGTCAAATCCTAGGAGATGCCCAGGCATAATGAAAGATTTCTCAAGGGAACCTGCAGAAGTACTTGCAAGAAATCATTACACATTTTGGGGCCCCAAACCTTTTAGATTGCAGCTTGTTTCATGAAAATTGTGTCACATAAATAATATTGATGTGTGTATATGGTAGCTGCAAAAATAGACTCTTGTATTCATGTTATTGCTGCAGTTGCTATGATGTGTGTTGCATGGAGTATTTTTTTACAATTTTTTTGTAGTATAATGACTTAGTTAACAATAGTTATATGATCTGTTCTCCTTTTAATTGCTTGTTATATACACCTTTATGCAGTATTTTCTGCAAACTCACAGAACAAGAAGTGACAAGTATTTTGTTATGCTCTCATTTTGAGTTTCGAAGGTGAGGCAATTTGCACATTTCTTTCCAGCTATGGTCATGACCACATGAGCTACAAGCTCCCGGCACACTATAGTAATATTCTTGTGATCCATACACACCCCAGCGTTTTCCCCATAACCTCACCCCTGTTACTCTAGAGTCACACTTTCCAGCCTCTTCCCTTTATAATACCAATGGGAGAATCCCAGCTTTCTCTCTTCTCCTTCCCCTGAGTCCACAGAATATCTGCTCCATCTCTGTCTTCCTAGCTAATTCACCTGCTTTGTGGCCAGCAGCCCCACTGTAATTAGTCTGTAAAGTCATCTCCAGCCAGTCACTCCTCATGCCACTGCCACAGAACCAGGAGCGTTCATTACTTCATTGTAATATTTTCTTACAGCACTGTCGTGAGATATCTTCACAGTCTGCTCAAAATTACTGTCAAGACAAGAATGGAAAATTAAGAAAGAGTATTTCTGTGATTATTCTGTGTTGGGCTGTTTTCACTATGGCTGAAAAGCCTAGGAGGAGACTTGATTCAAATATTCAAAACCCTCAAAGGTACTGAGAAAGACAAAGTCAACATAATGGACGCCTTCAGGATTAACAGTGAAAAGTCTTATCAGAAAGGGTAATAGGAGTCTGAAATAAGCTATCCATCCATGTTCTTTAAGCCAATATCCCCAGGATCTTTCTCAAAACTAATATAAAACATAGAAGGGAGATTATAGTTGTTTTTTTACACACAATTATCTGGTAAACGCACCAAGACGTAAACTCTCTATCTGCTTTAATTGAGAAAAGCCCTTTTTTTCTTGCTTCTTGTGGTGGTGTGTTGCCATCTGTTCTAATTTATTTGAAAACATACTGATTTGTAAAGACATGACCCAAGTGGCCTTGCAGTCAGATTTAGAATTTACTGTCATCTGCTTTACAGATGGGGAGTAACGTGGCCACAACATATTTGCACTTGACAGATGCCTTAAGAGCTAAAGGCAAGAAAACACAAGTTTACCAAATTATTGTGTTGAATGACGACCTTTCTCCTGAATTAGATTAAGAAAAAAACAGCATACAACCAATTTCATGTGCACTCAAATGAGGTTTGGCAGCATAAAATAAGAGAATGTTTTTCTTATTTTCTGCAGCATTTTATAAAGCAAGCTAATATACATGTTTTACATTTTGAATTATAATGGGACATTTCTCATTTTTATTTCAAATAAAATCATCACTACCACTTTGGTTGTTCTGTTGACTTTATCAACTTATCGATCCATTCACATGGCCTTCCGCTCTCAAATATAATTTCTGCATACACACAATAAAATATTATTCAGATTACACGCTGAGACTGATCAAGGACATGTGTGTCCATAGGGCATGTCAGTATTGGCCCAGTTGGTATCCGTCATCTGTTAGTCTTTCAGAAAGAGTGATGTGGCTGCAGAACACATTGCTGACATGGTGGCAGATCACTACAATCTTTTAAGAAATGTTTTGGATAAAAAGTACCCTGTGCTACATAAAAGTGGATGCTCCACATGCAATCGACTCTTGTTCATTTTGTTCACACAGCTTGTACCCATCTACTAGGGGCTATTCCAGCTTTAAATGCCTAAACCGTGTCAAGCCTTTGTTAACCCACAAAGCGTAAAATCTGAGGACAGATGGAGGATAAAATATAAATGCCATGCCAGAAACACAAATCACAAACATGACACTGGATGGTATCACTTGGGGGTCCAGTCTGAAAATATGTTTATTTAAACATTTTACATGCTTCCGTCTCTGGAATGAAAGTGGGCTTCGTACTGTGTGTGCGCCTTCTTATACAAAAGCACGGAAAAAAGCTTTGTGTTTGCATTCGCTGCTGTTTTGTGGATCTGAGCATACTCGGGCAGAAGATGAAAAGACTGGCTGCCTTGCTAAGGCTCTCTGTCTGATGGCCTACTGAAAGTAGCAGGTTTTTAAAAAGAACTGCCGCCTTTGTTGGTTTCTTGCTGCCAGGGAACTTCGCTTATCTGGCTGACTGCTCAGTGCTCCCACATCTTCATCCAAGATCCTGTCCTTGTGCCTTTTGTTGTCTTTTCACCATGGGGCTGCTGAAGTCGCCTTCAGATTTCAGCTCCTGCTGCAGCATGCCTGAGCTTCCTACATGCACTGTGTAGCTACTGATCCTTGTTCCCAGAGGAGCAGCAGAGCCATTTTTGCAGCTACTGCTTTCTTCTCCCAGCCTCCTCGGAGACCAGCGGAATATTTATAATGGCCTTTCTTCTTCACACAACAGAACAAAACGGAACTGCTCTGTATGTTTATTCTTCACTTAGCATCCAAATGCATGGCTTTTGAATCAGAGCCTCTAGGAGGAGACATTTTATGTTTTTGAGATCTCAGACAGCAGTAAGGGACAGAGAGGCAGAGGAACAGTCAAAGCGCAGTGGGCTGAGGACTGATTCAAAACTGATGTGAACGAACTGCATCTTTCCAACCATCACAACAGGCACTGAAAAAGCAGTAGATAGAAAATCTGATGTCACAATCAGTTGCATTATATTAATATAAGCAAAGGTTCCTCAGGGTCCTCACATCTCACAGCCCTACAGCCCCTTACACTGGCATCCATGCATTCTAAACCTAAGTTTAAGTGCTTTTTGGACATAAAAGGAGAATGGATCAGATACTGGCCAATAAAATCAAGCTCTTCTGGTCTCTATGTTAAGGTTGGGCCTTACACAACAGACGTTTAAAACCAACTGCATTTGGGTGTAGTTATTACTTATCCTGCTACACACAACTAGTAAAGTGGCAGGGATTAATATAGGAATGATTAACATTTCGGTACTATGCTGAAATCCTGGAAACATGCTTTTGAACTAAAGGTTTCCTGCAATTCAAATAACCGTACCTTTTCAGAATGGTAATGACCCATACTGTGGACCCAGGTATACGGCACAACAATGGGTACATAAATGGAGTCTTTTCTTTAAAAAATAAAATAAAAAAGGGAATGTAGGCCAATTGGTGGCCGAAGAGTTCTTCAAATATTTTTCACCGAGGAACCACTTGGAAATTCCAAATGGGAACACTCTGCGGCTCCATTTTAGGAACAGATTCAGTAATACTGCATGACTAATGAGTAGATGTCAGGAACAGCGATCACAGTCTTTAAGAAACTTTACCCCCATTTCCTTTTCCATAAGCCAGTCAAGCAGTAAGCTTGCGTTTTTTACCCTCTGACGACTTTCGCATTCAAAAATGCTTCACAATCATTTTCACAAATAAAGCACTAATATGCGTCCTGATCCCCAGAGATTAGCCTGTGACCATTTGTGCTGGAAAGAACTGTGCTAAAACAGAACTTGATATAAGACTGTTCATGTTTAAGATGATAACTATAATAATGATGATACGCCTCACCGTGTGGTCATCGACCGTGACCCCGCCTCTTTTCTATTACGCGTGACCTCATAAACCGTGATCTTCTTTTCGTTTTTTTTTTTGCTGCTTAAACATATTAACTTGCTCTTCATCTACTGTATTTCCCATTCTATACTTTTTATCGCACTGCATTTCTCATTCACCCGCCTTTGATGTGTCTCCTGCTCTAGTCATTGCGCTGTGTGCCTTAGTTACGTGTGAAATCCTGACGCTGGCTTTGCTGTACGGCTGTGTGATTATTCTACGCAAGCTGCCTGCCTTGGACAAACGCGTCAGCTAAACTTAACAAGCTCTTGTCAGGATCGGTGCTTATAAAAGCAAAAAGCACAGTATTATGAAAATAAGTTATCGTCGACAGGGGGCGCCCAAAGTCTACATATTCTGCATCAGACTGTGAACTGAAAAAAAAATGTATTAATTCTGAGGCAGTGCGCTGCTGCCAAATATATACAGCATTTCTGTACATTAAGCCCCTGTCTGTCTGTGTGATCTAACGCACAATATGATGATTATCAAAGCACCCGCGCAAAAATGTATACTCTCAATTTACAACCATGCACGGAACTGGGGAAAACGATAGAGCCTACCGTTGCTGACCTAAAATGTTAAGTCTAATGCTGGATGTAGAGTGGTGAAGTTTTTTTTTTCCTCTCTCGGGGAATAACTGGACGCTAGCTAGGGCCATCCCTTATGTAAAGTAATGCGATGCAAGCACATTATTAGACCGTCACCGCCCGTAGTAAAAAAAAAAACCCACACTGGCACCAAATAGCCCTTTTCCCCAATTATTTCATCACGGGTGCGCTGCGTTCACAAATCGCATCCTGTCGAAGTCGATTGTGCTACAGCGCCCTCTGCCTCCCCGTACTGCGCTGGTGGGGAGGATTTGAACTGCCCCCAGCCAGAGAGTGTGCGAGAGAGGGAGAAATGCAGAGACCGACGTGCAGAGCACTACCCTAATAGGCACAGCTACCGAGCGCAGAGACACCGCCGCTGAAAAAAAATATATAACCACCGACTCTTCAGCAGGGAGCCCTTTAGAACTTAACTGCGAAGAACGGTAAGAGTTTCATAAAATGGTTGCTGATGTTATTTTATTTATTTTTTTGGGGGGTAGATTCACTTTGCATGTGTACCATCTCCGTTGATTAACCCAGCTGTAATGCATACTGTCCAATTTAGCAATAGACTGGAGGGGAGGGGGTGTATTTCATATGCGAAAGGAGGGAAGGAAAAACTGAATAAGATTTATTATCAAAGCAGTCATAAGAAATTGTTCTTTTTTTAGTATTTTTATTTTGCTGTTGTGGTGAATGACTTTATTTGCCAATGAAGTGAATTTGACGTCCTGGTTTTGATGATAAAACGTTTTTTGGGGGAAAAAGGGGTTGATTACTGATTAAAAATAGCTGTTGGTTTTGATTTAGTATTGCGTATTTTAGTGTTTAATAGTATTTTGTGTTTTTTTTTTTATTTGGGGATCCTTTCATTGGGATAATCCTTATCACCAGAAAAAAAAAATCACTTTGTGTTTAAATTAGTTTAAAAAGGGGGGGAAAAAGATGTGAAGCTCTTACTTGAGTACGGTAAATTAACAAAAATAAAGATGTCACGGTTTTTTTTTCACAAGGAAATCATAGGTTATAAAAACCGTAATGCTTTTCTAATAAGACATTTCATCCCCCCCACCCTCCTTCTTGTCTGTATTTGGGGGTGTGTGCCGACACATCTGGCTGCACTGCTTAAGCGATACTAGACCATTATGTACCTAAAACATTTCATTTTCGCAAAAGACAAAGGGAGACCGTCGTCGGTGTCGGGTTGGGTCTTAACAGGTAGTCGAAACCTTCGTCGCTCTGGGAAATGTATTGAGGAATTCTCGATATAGTCCGCGCCTGCAGCGATTGGAAACCGTGTCTTGATTTTGCACAGATGGAAGTGGCACTGGCGTGGTTTTCACTCTGATTTAAACAGTGTCTTAACCCCGGCACGGACGGCGTTTACTGCAAATCCCATGAAGTGATGCGGATGAGTTTGTGTGTGATGTCTTTGTCGATAGCGTTATATACAATACAAGACGTCTTTTTACATCGTGTCTGTATTGAGAATGAATGAACCCAGTTTAGTAATTGTTATGGTCCTTTGTTTAAGGAAGCACATGCGCATTGCAAGCAGGGTGTGGATAAAAGATTGATTTTCTTCTCCCTTATCAATTGACTGTTGCTTCATTTGCGATCTAGTGAGACGACAGCCTTTTCTTGACACGAATGCTTACTTAGTAGGTTCATGGTGTGCTACGCTTCTCTACATTTTTTTTCTTGCTTGCGGGTAGGCTGTAGACGACATAGCTTTTATCATCCAAGATACAGCAGGTTACATATATGTGACTGAGGCAGCTGGACACGTCTGCTTTATGGCGTGAAGAGGCTCGGAAGAAACCACACGTACACATTTTGTGCGTGTGATTTTTTTTACACTTTTTTCCACATATGAACACGATAGATATGAATGTTGTTTTATCGTTTGTTATACTTTCCCTGTGGATTTGCATCGCTTTGGTTTTATTTTTTATAACGCCCAGGATCGTAATTTGTTAACAGTAAATTTAACCAAAATATTGTTTCTTTTTATAAAATTTAGGATTGGGGATTGGAAATATGCGATGAACATCAGATCGTTTAGCCCCAACAGTGCTCCAGACTCTGGGTCCTGGTGACCTATCTGTTGGTTTTCAACCCACCTGTACTTTCAGTTGCTTAATTGGACTAATATTATGATTAAACTTTATTTGCTCTCTCTGCCCTGAAAATTCTAAAAAAGACGAGAAGGAAAGTTTTCACCATATGAATGATGTAGGTATATTGAGATCTCTCGACAGTTCCAGAACTGAGAACTCAGAAACGTACAATCAGCAAATGTGTAGTTCAATTAAAAAACAGGGACTGAGCTGAATCAAAAACCAGCAGACCATGGGTCAGAAAGGCTGGAAAGCCTTGTGGTAGATCACCGTAAACAACATTGTTAGTCTAATCCTGTTATTTTAATGCAGAGCAGTCTATGGTTACACTAGATTTGAGCATATTTCCATGTAGCCAAAAGCTGCTCCCATTACTGTCTTGTTTTTATTTACTCACTTTTTGTCAGAAATGTGGTTAACTGAGCTGCTTGGAAGCTGATTTGTTTAGGTATTCAGTGGTTACATACTGTACCTTTTTTTTCATTGCTACAATGTGTTGCAGAAACAGAAGGGTGCTTGGCTCCAATTGAACATTCCTGTGGGGTGAACAATGACAAGAAAAACACTTTTTTATTTTCGCAACATTAAAACACAATCAGATCAATCAGCAATTAGGGAAATGCAGGCCAACTGAGTTTAAAGTTCTTTCTGATTTTTTTTAAGAGGCAAAGCATCTGGTGCTTTGCCCATATACAGTGTTATACAGTACATACAATGAAAAAAAAGAGCTATTTAAAGATTGTGCCATTAAATGAACTTGTAATGATGTCCACCTCCAAAGGTTAGTTTTCTCCACATGGCAAGAGCTTCCTCTCGTGTTGTAAGAGTGTAGTTAAGTGTAGGAGACAAGAGAAGTCGTGATATACAATATACTGTACAGTATACATGATGAGAATATACTGTATATGAGGAAGCGTGATCCAGATCAATAGAAGTTGTGGCACATCTGAGTAAATGTTTGGTGAAACCATGGGCAGTGTAATGCACTGTGTAGATATACCATGGTAAACGTAATGTTGGAAAGTGAAGTTGAAATGCATTATCCACAAAAACATTAATTTGACTCACTGGGGCCTCTACAGTCCTACGTTTGTACACACTGTGTGATGGGGAGATTTCCTGTGCCTTTGACATGTACAGAATTGCAGACGCAATGTTAATTCCTATCCAAGTTCCCTTCTGTTTTTTTTTAATCCGAATTATCAGTTGCTTGAATGCTGAACTGTAATACCACATGTGTACAGTAGATTCTGTGATGTAGAATCCCATGTCCGCCGATATCCACCAAGATTAATGCGTGAATTTGCTGTGTCTGCAAGTTTTTGTAAGGGGAATTATTGCTGGTTCTGTGAAAAGCTTCTAAATTGGACTGGCAAGTTTGAAATGATAAAAACTGGAAAGCAGAGGGGGTTTGCACATAGCAATAATTACTAGTAACACTGGCTGGTAAGCAATTACCCATATTTATGTCCTGTACTGTATGTTATTGAGCTTTAATGGTCCTAGTCTTTCCAGTCCTGTAAACCACTGTTTTTGCCCATTAACAAAAATTTGGAATTGGCATGAAATTGGTACCAGTATTGCCAGCAAAAAATAAATTGGCTAGTGCAAATCTGAAATAACTGCTGGCAGTTATAAGCTAACAATTATTGACAGCAAGCATTGCTACATTGCTAGCAGTAATTGCCAAGTGTAAACCCAACATAACACTGAGCGAGATGGAACATACAGTGTGATCTGTTGTGAAACCAGTGATGATACTTTCTTAATTTTGACTCCTGGAATGATGTCCTTGTCAGTTTTCCCAATGTGTGGATGGAGCTACTGAAACAATGTATTTAGCCTGTTATATCACAATGGCACACAATGTAGTACTGTCCAAGAGTGGTGAAAGCTGGAACCAAAAAAATAAAAAAAAACTATAATAATTAACAGAAACCTGTTAAAGTAGGACATAATGGCAGAACCTTAGAATATGGAAAAGAAAACAAGGTGTTGCTTCTTAATCTCTGTGACAGAAATCTAGGCCAATGTATGTTTGCTTTTCCATTACACACGGTGGGAGTTGATATGGATTTCAAATTGGTGTGAATACTGCCTGGGACCAAACATTGGAAGAACTGAAACATCAGTTTCTTCGAAGCTGAGCTCTCCATCCTCCAAAAAACTTCAGACGTCCCCCAAAGTCTGATGTATTGTGCACAAGAGTGATGCAGATCCGGAATGACATGAGTTCAGCCACTGCCTGCCTACACTGGCCAACGCCTGAATGTGTTGCTGACAGACACAATGAAGGGACAGCACTGCTAATGAAACCACACCAGTGTGTTGAATGTGTGGTGCAGGGTGTGGGCATCGAGACGAGAAGATACAGCAGCTCATGGGTTGATGTTAGAACTGGAGTACAGGCGTTCTAACTGATAATGAAATGAACACTTGGTAGTCATTTGACCAAGGGGATGCAAGGCAGGAATTCAATTCAGAAACTGCTTGCAGGGTGAAAGAGGTCATAACAAATACTCTGTGATGGATAATTTAAATCATTAAAAAAAGCTCAGTAGCACCAAGAGCGGCGTCCAAACAAATTAGTGCATTTTTAATGATTATGAAAGATATTTTGGGCCTGCTGAAAGTGAATTTCTTTTCCTGCTCTTGGAGCAGCAGTTCAGTTGCTTTCTGCTCTTGGGATGGTACAAAGTGGAAAGTGGGACAATTCACTGTTTAACCAATTACTGTCATTGTCACATGCGTGGTTAGTTTTGAGTCAGACATTCTATCTGCTGTCTCCTGCATCTCCCAGCTGCCCAAAGCTGCATTGCAGTTGAGCACTCTGCTGTGCTGAAAGGAGGGTCATGTGGTTAACTATTCCAAGTTTGCAATGGATTCAAGCTCTGAAGGGGGGTGCTACGATACTGGTAACAGTGTCAAACCAAATGATCGGTGAACTGTGTCCTCTTTGTGTGGAGTTTCAAATGGCTAGGAAAATATGAACTCGTCTCATTGTCATTACCCATTTCAAACCTGGACGTATGGAACATTTCTGAATTCTCATACAAAATGTTTGAACTGTACTGCTTATCTTACTGTTATTGATTCCTAACTGGGCAGTTCAGTGCTGTGGTGGTTTGTCCTGCTGTCTCGGAGGACATACTGTACGAACTCCTCACTCCTTCTATGGTCAGTCTCTTTGGACTCCATTGGTTTGATGAGTTTTTCCTAACGTCTAGAGACGTACTGGTTTGTTTAATTTGGAGTCTCTAAATTGTGCTGGTCTGTGCACTTTGATGGGGCTAACCCCCTATCCAGAGAGTAGTCCTGCATAG